ATACTAAACATATCATTATTTATTATTAATTAATGCAAGATAATTATNAAAAAAAAAACTCGTATAATTCGATAAAATGTCATCGCCAACTCGCGTCGCGACAGGATTGGTCGAATCTAGACCAATAGCGGATATTGCACAAACCATTGAGTTTAAACGAGCAGCGGACCTACTAAAAACCATTTATTATTTAACGTCCATAGAAATTATATTTATATTAATGATGTCTCCAAAGTTCAGCGAATTTTTCGCAAAAAAAAATAATTTATCAGGAAGCACGCGAGCGCCATTCGATGACAAGCTCCACGACGAAAACAAGCTTAAGCAATGGCGTCGTCGAACGGTGCACACTCAGTAAGTAATCCTACAATTTTTTGTTTATAGCCTTGTTTATATAAATTATTCCCCAAAAATTATATGTATTTTGGAAATGTTGAGTCGAATTAGTCTAGAATCGATTAATTTTATGGAAGAAACCTTTCAAACAGCCGTAGTCCGTAAACTGCACACGTGCCGAGCTGTGATTGGCTGGACTCGTAGAAAATGGATTCATATAAACCGGAACGTATCTACCGTGTTATAGGGGGGTCGACTGTAATTTATCTTTACATTTTGGCAAGAAATTTGTAAATTTTCATTTAAAAGTGTTTTCATGATTTTATAAGCAATATTTCAGTTAAATCAATTCAGTCTCCCTGACTTTAATCATGCTAAATTCTTTGCAATGTAACCAGAAATGGGTTCACTTTACCTTTACAATGAATAAATGAAGATAAATCAAATAAGGATTTGAATGTGAAAAATGCACTGATACACGTGTCCAGTACATACAGTACAATATCTAAGAGTTTACTCTTCGTACACAGCGCCGTGGTATACACTCATACTCTTCATACACCCACAGTGGTACATGAAAGAAGGTAGATTTGCACGTTCTAATTTGGGCCCCTAATATCGGTTCACTACTAAATTAAAAAACAAATGAAGTGTCTCTTTAATGGATCAGCTCTGTGAAACAGAGTTGATCCATTAAAGATGACGATCAAAGTTAAAAATTCATAAGTAAACAATTTTAAACGGGTACCTGTACATGATATGAAAGGACTGTATTGTATTTATGGAATAATACAGCCCAACAAATGAGAGATCTGTCAAGAGGAATGTCTCCTGGGAAATTTTCTGTGGAAAATTGGCTTCTAAATATTTACGTATGGCTTCTATTTTATACACCTAAAGTAAAACCAAAAAACTTTATGTGCCAGTCCATTGGCGAGGCTCGAACCCGCGACCGATTACGTATTGTGATACGAAAAAATAAGAAAATCTTGAGTGAAATGGTTTAGAATTTGAAATCATTAACGCAGAATATATTCATTTTTAGCTACTAATGCTTGATACGTACTGATAATTTCGAATTTTATAACTTTTAAATCCTGGTATTAAAACTATTACGTTCCGGTATTAACTAAAGTGATTGGTTCCATCAGTTAAGTTGCTTTACGATCTATATATAGATACGTAATGGTTTATGTAATTCATCTTCAGAGAGAAATTTTAACTAACGATTCGGCATAATGGTTTATAATAATAATTATATACTTGGAAGTAACCATTAATTAATTGAAAACAAATGTATAATGCTTATAATAATAATTTTTTTTATTTAATTTGTATTATATAAGAGAATAATATAATGAAATACAGTATAAGATAAAGCTAATGAATTCTTATAAGTAATTAAAGATATTACTCAAGAGTAATTTAAGAATCCCTTTAAGCGCATGTGATTAGGAATGTGATCACCTACAATAAGATAATAATAGAAATTTTATATATTAAGTAGTGTTTTAGGGTACTCAAAAAACAGTTGAATAGAGCAATTTCATGTATCAGGTAATCGTAATTAAAACACCCTATTTAGTCTGTCTAGAGAGATGGTTTACAGCTTGAATGCCATCAAATTGTTTTGGTGTCATTTCAGGACGTGCGGAAGACATTTCCGTAACAAACAAATTAGTACCAAAACTCATCAATCAGACACTTTTGGGACTGCAAGTAAATAAAGCAGTGAGAATGCTCAAGTTTGATTTATCGAAAACATGTCGCAAATTTGATAGCCTTCGAAGACATTATTGCACAGCATATGAGAAGCTTCAGAGGATCAATTATAGTTGGCTCTTGAGCATGTTCACCATCTTCAGAATGAGGACACATTGAAAAGTATTCCTGTATCGCTAAGGTAGTCTTGTACAAGTAAAATATTTGTTACTTGCAGCACCAAAAATTCCGTAGTGGCAAGTATTAGTACTATTTTTTTTACAAAAATGCCTTCTGCATATCCTCGCAGAATTTGATAGAATACAACAATGCTATAGATGCGTGATCTGCCATGGGAGTGCCTATCGGGAGGACTTTGTATTGGAAACTGACCCGTTATTTACGTGTTATTCACGTAAAAAAAACATAGACAAATCAATATAGTCAGAATTAATCAGGAGCAGAATCGAAAACTTACAAGAATCGGAATGTTGCAAAAGCAATAAAAAAGAAACACAATGCTTCCAATTTACCCTGTACGGACTAGTACAGGGTATTCGAAACAGTTGATGAACATTGTTGATAGTTACAAAGATTGAAGTAAATGATTAAGTAGAGCGCCGTGTTCAGTATCGCAGAATTTTCGCTAAGTCTAGTTATGCTGCCATGCTGAACTCGTTTTTTAACTATCTGACTTCTCCCAGTGCTAGAATTCTAACTAGTTCAGTCAGCTGATTTATGATATAATTATGATTATGTCATTCATCAATTTTACACACGGTTAGTGTAACTTGCTAACTCAGCACATCGTTCAAGAGTACTTACACTTTTTAGCACAGCCCTTCCAATCAGTTAATTTCTTACTTGGCATTCTGTTACTGAGCACGATCCTAAAGATTCGGCCGTTTAATTAAGTAACCATTAATACAGTAGATAAATTAAAAAATAATTTTGCTGGTAAAAGTTTCAGAGTTGTTAAAAAACTTGATACCAGTTTATGATCGTGGGTTCATGCTTCACCAACGGGTTGACAACATGAAGCTTACCAGGCCTTAAGCAAGAGCCTACTTAGGATAATGATTGAAGTGCCGTTCCATTGACAATTTATGAAAAGTAACCATTGTTTTTTAGTTGTTAATTACTCATTTAGTGTAATACCGTTAAAAATTATTAAATGAAACGACATAACTGAATTTATGTTACAGAAGAGGTAACTTGTTACTTTTTATTTAACAATACTTGTTTTAAAAGATTCCTGTAAAGTGCCTTTATATCATAATTTACCTGGTAAATTAATATATAACAAAAATCTTAAGCTGATTCCATGTTTATAATTGTACGATTATAAATAATTTTATAATCTATGTGTAAATGTAATGTCAAGAGAAAAACTTATTTACGGGCTTAATTAATTGCTTTGTTGTATTCTCTGTTTGTGTGCATCCGAAATGTCCTCATTATACGGCCATATTGAATTCTCAACAGAATTCATGGCGATGATAAGTAAGAGTAGGAAACGCCATCTGTAGTTAATATTTACTCTATGAAAATTTTGGCTGTATCCCTTGATTACTGTTGTATTTATTCAATTCTAAAACATATCTAAACTTTCAAACTCTTTCTCATAAACAGCTAAATCTATTAGAACCCATTTTCGGCCCTGTAGATAGTTCCCTTTTAATTCTACAGGGACAAACAAACACACATCAATATTTAATTTGGTTTTAAGGCTGCTCTGAGAATACAAATTCGCATCTTCAGGAATTTTCATAATTTGATGCCATATCTCACTCTAAACATGCTGTGTTTGGAATGGACAAATCTGTAATGGGCTTTCTTTTTGGATCAAACATATATAGATGGAGTAAAAAAAAAAAAAATTTACATTTCCAACCAGAATTTTATTCAAAAAGTAGATACATAACAAAAAAAGATTCACAATATTTTGTAACAGCACTAGCATTTTATATCTTTTCTATCTTTTTTTTTTTTAACATATTAGACCTTGTAAATCAATCAGACATTCTATTCCATTTGTCTAAAATTACAAAACAAAATCTTTATACTGGGTGATCCAAAAGTCCTTCAGACATAGCACCCAACTTTAAAGTAAATTTTACAACCATGGCATTATTTTTTTATGCAATAGGCATTTTTGCATATAACTGCTATGTTGAAGGACTTCTGGATTACTGTGTGTTTATTATCTTGTCATTAATATAATAATATACGTTTTATAGAAATGTATACGAAACCTAATTAGGATGGTATCTTTAACATTTCTCGCTATACTTATTTATCAAATTACGCTGGCATTTTGAAATATCTTCCCAAAATATCATCTCTGAATTTATACTTCATTCAAAAACAGTTTTTCTACAACACATAAATCTGAAAATTCCAAAATTTATAATTAGTTAATTAAAAAATTTTAATTTTTTAAATTAAAAGCTTTCCATATAAAAAAAGTCAATCAATTGCTTTGATTCATTAAATAAATCAGATATGTAAAAATTACAGTTGAATGAGAACTTTTGTAAAATGATCTAAAATCTGAAATAAAAAAGTAATTATTATACATAAATATTATGATAATAATAATATTAATGAAATAACAATTAAACATTCCTTGAACACATTATTTTAAAACAGATTTTGCAAAATTACATAAAAATTTTGAAATATTTAAAATGTAAATGGCAAGTTGTTATCCCATTATACTATTAATAAGGATGAACCAACCACTGTAGTTACTCGGCCGAATTGATCGATGTATCTTTAACAGCAGGCGAAGTTTAAAGAACATCAATGTTTTGACCTGATTAATGGGCCACCTTCACTGGATCAAAAATGTTAGCATTCTTTAAATTTCACACACTGTTAATGGTGCATTGATTCATCAGACTACATATAAAACTTCTCATAACACTATTTTTATAATGCACTCACCTTAGTAAATATAATTTTTTTTTTAATGATGGAATGATTTTAAGTCCAACTCGGTTTACATGGAACAAAAATCTTTTTGAAATTTCAAATGATTCAGACTAAGGAGGGAAAAGATTCTTTGACTCCTGAAGATGGGTACATAGCCTAAAAGCATAAAGTTTTCTAAAAAGTTTCACTCCAATAAAAGCAGTTTGAATTGGATTGACATTTGAGGAGATTCCTTAACAAGTGTATCTTGAATTTCTTTTCAATATGAAAGAATTTACAACTGTAAATATATAAACATATTATTAAAATTAACAATATTTAATATTATAGCTTATTCAAAAATAATAGAAATGAAAACATACTACTAATGTCTTTAACTTTTGAAATTTCAAAGTAATTTCAGAGTTAGAAATTTACTATAAGCAAATATACTTATACAGTAGATTAAGCTAGAATTATAATTTATATTATTAATTTATCAAATCTTAATGCCAAATTCATTGGGCCACAACTTGGCTAATTAAATACGTAAATAATAAAGTAACATACAGGGGTGTCCTATAAGTGTGGAACCACAGGACTTATGTTAATCTTTCTTTATTCTCTTAGGATAAAGCATGGCACTAAGGAAGTAAGGAGGAAAGAATTCAATTATCATAATGATAGGGACCTGCAGTCAGCAAGAAATTGCTGAGTTTAACAGGCTGCTCCAGCTACTATGTGCAATTGGTGGAAAGTCTGGATTCTAGATGCAGTTTGTTAAACTCTTCAATAATTTCTTGCCGATTGCAAGTCCATACCATCAAGACAACTTGAATTTTTCCCTCCTTACCCAGTGTCATACATACTTTACCCATAAAATATTAATGTAACTCTTGTGGTTTGACTTACGAGAAACTGTGTACAGGAAATAAAATTAAATCCATCTAGAAATGTATCAAGATTTAAATATTTCATGGTTTTTTTTAGACTAAAATAGAAACAAATGTTTCAAAAATGTATTCATATAAAAATTTTGATAAGTAGCATAACTTTGGTCTAAAATAGTATTTAAATATTTCAAAGCAATACAGATTCCAAAATATTATGAGATACATTATACTGAAAGTAAATATATATTCGTACAAGATGCATTTGACAGATGCCAGTCATATTCCTTGGCACAAAGGATATGACTGACATCTGCCAAATGCATCTTGTTGTAGTGACACCATGGTTAACATGAGTTATATATACATTATTTATAAGAAACATTTTTTATGCAAGATAAATAACTTTAAGATTAGACACATGATTAAATATAAATGTGATATGCCAACTTATATCAATCTCATATTTTTGTTTCAGGTAAACACTAAATTATTTTGCAGTTTTTTGAATTACTTACTCCATGTGCCGAAAGAAAAAACTTTATAATACAGTAAAAGTTAATGAATAGAGTGGCTTAGAAGGAGCCGAGAAAGTGAATTTCAAGTTATTATTAATGTAAGAACTATGATGAAGTTAATAAAACATTTACTATTCTAAGCTCAAAGTTTGCAACTGGCTTGTAACTCGACAAATGCAAGAAACATTCCAAGCACTTCTTGCATCTGTAATAACAATAATAATTACTTTATATTCTTAATACATTTCTTTATTTATACAAAATAAAGGTTCTTAAATTTGAGCCTTTAAAATTTTAATTAATAAAGTAAATAAAAGAATAATGTCATCATAAAATTTATATAAAATGAATTGGTTTTGCTTAAGAGCAGTAATGTATATTTTTATTCTCAAGCAAAAAGTATTCAGTTAGAGGCAGATATATAACATCTAGACATATTACTAATGTAGTATATCAATTAAATGTAATTGAAGCACTTGGTAAACAGACCATTAACTCAGATAAATACTGCATCTTAATACTTTAAATATAAATTCAGCAAGTTATATATAGCACAACCAATTGAAATAGAAGGGCATTTTATTAATGCCAAATTTAAGATACATAAAGTGACAAACCATATCATTCTAATAAAATACCACCGTATTTTTTTATTACAGATAATTGTTTCTTTATACACATTTTGTTTTAATGTAACTTATTTAAATTAGCATCTTAATTACTTGGCCATCTGGCCATCTTAAATTGTCTTAGGTTATTTTTACAAGAATTAAAAATAACAACTTTAACTTAGTATTTCTGTAGAATATCCTCTTGAAGTCTCAAAATCAAACAATTATGATACAAAATACTCCTCAANGTTATACTCAACATTCAAAAAGAACTGTTCATATTACAAACTGAAAATAAAAGACTGTCATTCTATATACTGTCATTATATTTTACATTGTTATATGTTATCATTGTGTAGTTACAATAATATCCAATTCTATATTCATTTATTTTTCAAATATATTAATTTTTGTAATTTACAAATTAATACTGTACAGTACATGAGATATGCCATGTAACTGAATAAAACAGCTTTGAAACAGGATTATAATATAAAACATCTGACAAACACCAAACTCCAGTTTGAAAATGGAAATTAAATGCAAATTAAATATTTTTGATTGCCTTAAGCAATCATCATCAGATTACAGAAATATTCTATAATTTGTTTTGCATAAAATTTATATTTTCAAACTGGAGTTTCAGTGTTTGATGAACATTTTTATAGGATATATGTCTTAAATAAATAAAGTTTTAATAAATGAAACTATCCAAAAACAATACTTTTATTTATCATTAAGATAAATAAAAATTGTTTTATTTATCATTAAGATAAATAAAACAATTTACAAAAAATTGAGTGTCTTATAAATATTCATATATGTGCATGTTTTCTTAATATTTTATAATAGGTGGGCCAAACCTCATCACAATAAGAGCCATACATGGCCTGTTGGAAATATACAAGATATACATTCTCTATTGGAACAGAAGTTTGTATATATACAGTATTACTGGGCTTATCCCAAAAATAATAAAATTAAAATATATACAACTATTAACTTTAATTTTAAAACCAGCAAGCTTTAATTCAATTTTAACAAATGTTTTTAATCTCATAATTTATTCCTAAAATTTTAAATATTGTAACAATCAAATATACATTCCAAAATTAAATGTTAATGTATATAGACCTAAAGAAGATTTATTATTAGATCAAAAATATTTGTCAAAGTTGAATTAAAGTTTGCTAGTTTTAAAATTACAGTTAACAATTGTATGCATTGAGAAACAATTTATCCAGCTTTTGTGAATAATTCTAAAATTAAATACTTACTTAATATGTGTAATATATTTGTTGTTCTACATATTTTATGTTTGATTTTTAATGTTTGGATCCAATGACAAGACACATTTGTTTTGAAAAATGTTTTATCAAGTAATAAACTGACTTCTTAAAAACTATTAGTATTGTGTTTTGTGTTTATTGTAATACACAGATTATGTCCTCCTAGAAAATACTTGAATCTTTAAAACCTAGAACCAATTTTTGATGTGTCTGATAAAACTATAAAAGATGTAAAGAAAACTTTAAAGCAAATATTTTATAAAAGATCATTCCTGAATCTGCTCCTTTTTCACAAAATCTGGTATAATAGCTGATAAATACTTAGATTTAGTATATGTCTCTTCAATCCAAATGGTTAACAAACGGTAGACTTTCTTTCAGCTCTGAGGTTAAGTTTTCCTTTATTGTAAATTACATATGCATTTCAGGCTTATGAGGATTTTTACTTCATATGAGGAGTCATATGAAGTAAAAATTGTAGGACCATGGATGAATGTAATAAAAAATAAGCCCGTTTGGGAATTATACTCATATACGATTGTTATTCATGTATTTCGTTGGTAATAATGTCATTGTTGATGTCATACAATTTTTAAAAAGTGTTACTCAACCATCTGAGAATTTACACTGAAGAGGGGCTCATACAAGCCTGAAATGCATATGTAATTTACAATAAAGGAAAAATTAACCTCAGAGCTGAAAGAAAGTCTACCGTTTGTTAACCATTCGGATTGAAGAGACATATACTAAATCTGCTCCTTTTTTTTTGTTGCTCATATATGGATAGCTTACAACTTCAGCAGGGTGCCAAAGATGCTTGGCAGAGATAAAATCATCTCCAGATAGATTTTAAAATATTGTCTATTACATAACATTTATATAATGTTGATTTATCAACTTATTAAACAATAAAACATAAAAATTTATTCTTTATTCAAAAATTACTTACAAGTAAAGCAATGAGCTGTAAGAAAGTGTCCTCTCCAATGTCACAGAATAAATTTATTTTATCTTTATTAGAGTTGTCAAGATTATCTTAAAATTATATAATACCTTTTCAAATAAATTTTCAGTTTTGAAAAGTATTTTCATAATTCTTTTAAAATTATGATGTTAGTAGACATATAACAACTTAGTTACATAATATCTAAAGTAAAAGCATAATATTTCATTACTAGAAGTAATAAATTTATAATCTAAGTAAAATAATAATATATAAGCACAGTGATGGATTATCTACTAGCACACAAGGCATATGCCTAGGGGCCGCAAGTCTCAGAGGGCCCAAAACTGAAAAAAGTAAAGTACAGTACATTTCAATTATACAGTACAGTATATCATAATTTAAAAAGGTAGAACTATAGAAGCAGTAGTGCATTGCTTTCTCTCTCAATTTTCTTTCAGAAACATATATGATAGTCATTTGCAAAATGCACAGAATTATTTGGTGCTGACCCATGTGTCTCTCTTAAAAAAACTGAGAAAGCAACACTGTACCGCTTCTATAGTACTAGCTTTATAAATAATGCTATAGCTACAATTACACATTATTAATTTATAATGTAGTAAAATTATGTAGGGGGCCCAGTGGTGCATTACAGCTTCATGGGTACCCAGGCAAATTTTAATTTGGGGACTCTTGTGTACTTTTTCCTCAAGAGGAATTTTCTTATACAAGATTGGTTTGGGAGCCCTCACTAACAGGCAATTGCCCTTTTTTCTCCATAGGATAACTTTCCACTGAGGGGCCCTGGAAGTTCTTAATCAGCCACTGCATACACTACAAAATTGTGTTCTAATCCAAAAATATTTCAGAAGAATTTCGTTAAAACGTGACGTATTATTTTACCTCTAAAACTGTTTTATCTTTGATGAAATTTCTGTTATGCCATACATACTGTGCCAATACAGGTGAACTCGGCCAAATATACATCCCATAAGAAGGATCAACGTACTGAAAAAAAATATATTTTAAAGAAATATTTTAAAGGATTCAAATCACAACAGCATACAAATACTAAAAATTTGGGCAGAATTTTACCTCGTAAACAGTCATGACAAGTGTTTCACCCGTATTATCATCATCAAAGATAAAAGCTTTCACAGATTTATTCACGTCCATTTCTCTTATTTATTAGCCTTTTCATCTAGCCATGTTATTCGCGTTTATTATCCCTATCGAGTCGTTAAATAACCAAAAAAGTGCCGCGAACCATGTCAACAACGTGTTTCTCGACCGACCACGTGATTCACCTACATTTCATAGTACGGGTCACCACATTACGTAATCGACGTCACAATAACATAAAACACAAAAATTAATAAAAATCATTTTAATAAAAAGTTAAAAAATCTGCCAACTTTCGAAATTATTTTTAGCCAAACGAAATAATTAAATATTTAAATAATGCCGCATCAATTTTTAATTTACGACGGACTATTTTTTTTAATTTTTATTTTTCTTTCTCTATTTCCTAATTTCAAAATGTGGCACGTGATAAGAAGTTATCCAATTAATGGTAAGAATTTAATAAATATTTTATGACGTCAATAAAGTAAACCAATCATAAAATATGATTTAGTAAATAGTGGCAATGACGCAGTGGCTTCCTTCACATATTAAAACGTCTAAAGATGGCGGATCCTTCTAAGAGACAAGCTAAGAAGAAGGCGGAATTGAATCGAATTTTACACAAAGAACAAGAAAAAGCTAAGATTAAACAGGTAAGGGACTCGTTATAAATAGTTTTTGACGTAATAATATCGTACCACGTGCTTAAGTGTCGATTTAATGTCAATTTCATGGCAAAAGCATGAAAATTTAATCAGTTTCAACCCATGCTTAAAATTTCGGTNTTATATTTAACCTAATTTTGTCATCATATTATAAATTCACAGCTTTTAAATGGTAAATAAGGTTTTTAAATACAAATTCATATAAAAGCATATGGTTATCAAAGCCTATGCTAGTCTAAAAGTTTTGTGAGTCACAGTGAGCCAACTTAAGTAAAAACTTGAAAATTATAAAAAAAAGAATACTAAACATATCATTATTTATTATTAATTAATGCAAGATAATTATTTATTATTTATTTATATTTATAGTGTTATTTATTAATGCAAGATAAACTAGACTGACAATTAGATTTGCAAAGAACTTTTTTAAAACATGTGCATCTACTAGATTGACACTGATTTTTCGCAGGTTTGCTTGAACACTTGAAGTCCTTGGTCCAAATAATAATTGGTTAGTCATGGCTTCTTGCAGAGATATTGATCTTTCTGGTATTTCCCCATTAAATCATTCAATAACTCATGTAATTTGTAATGATGGAACCAATTTTTAATTACTCCATATTTAGCCTCTACCTTGAAAACTCCGTTTCTGAAATCAAATATTTTTTCCATAATTTTTTTGGTACCTAAAGGACCATAATCTATTTTTGGTACAAAGAAAAAGTACTTTTTCCAGTATCTAATATAGGAAATTCTTAGCAGTGTCATTAACCATATTCTCTGAAGTGTCTAACTCCTTTATGCACTTCTTCTCTTTCATTTTGTATATTATGCTCACTTTTGCATATAAAACAGATCATTTTTCTTCCATAATCTTCATTTCCTTCAAACAATTCTGAAATAGCACAAAGAGGTTTAAAGCAGGAACTGCACTGATAAGGTCCACTGGTTTCATTTTGACACTCTGGACAGGTTAGATCAGGTGATAAATTTTCATTACTTTCTGTGGTTATTATGTTAGAAAAGATATTTCTACTAATCAAATTATCAGAGCTGTATGATGTCTGCTGTGAAGTATCATACTGAATTTTTCTATGTCCTTTATGACTTTTTGATCATTGTTGGCAGGTTTTCTAGCTCCTCATCAGTTTCAACAGATGAAAAAATATTATCAGGAATATTTGTAAACCAGTTTTAGGTTCACTACCAAATAAGGCTTGATAAGGTGATTTGCCAATGACTTGATGATATGATGCATTTTTTTGATATTGCACAAAATAGCACCCAATCGACAATTTTGTCGAATTATCATCATACATCCAAGAGTTAAGCGTATTTTTGATATTTTGGTGTTTATAGATGTCAAGGACTGCCATGCACAATTTCACAATCTGGCTACATATTTAAAAATTCTTCAAGGATTTTTGCAGTGAACTCCCAGTCATTGTCACTCTGTAGGATATATGGAGCTTCAAATTGTAAAAAAAATGTTTAAGTTCTACAGCTAATTCAGACTCCTGCTTTAATTGAAGTGATCTAAGATGTAAGTATTTAATAGCATTATCTTTATATTTTAAAGGTTGTTTATACTCTATCTGGTGCTAACTGTAAATCAACTGAATCAACTTGTCCATTTCCATAAAATCTTCAAAAACTATTAGTTAGTCACAATACTTTTCTTAGGTATAATTACATTTAGCTTTGCAGTAGGGACAAAGCAACAAATATTTCAACTGCTTTTTTGTATGTAAATGTGTTTTTAATACTGTATATCATTTTGTCACAGCCATCATGTCCACAGGATATATAATCTCTGTCAATATATCAAAATGCTGTTCAGTTAATATGATACATACCATAATAATATGATACATACCATAGGATTATCAAGTAACTTTTTCTTAAAAATAAGATAATCTTCATTCATTGTATTTACGATATCATACTTTGAACATCAATATTTGATAGATGTCCGCTGTGCACCGGAATCTATGGTCATCTTACTATTTTTGCTATGTCTAATAACCTCTAAAATTCTCTAATCCATGGTTTCTTCAAATTTCCATGTTTTGTGCAGAACTCATTATTTGTTTGTAGAAATTATCTTCAAGCTCACTATATCCAGATATATTAAACTTTCAGACATATTCAGACTTTCATTATTTGTTATAATATTCAATAATTCTAGAAGACATACTAGACAACAGTCAATTGCTGAATGTCTCTTGACGCCTCAAGTAGCAAGAATCGAATGTAAATATGACAATCTGGCAGTTTATCCAATGCTGTATTGTAAAGTAGCATTTAACCAGTTGTATAATAGAATGTAAAATGTCATTCAATCCAGCTGGATTTGATTTAGCCTCTTTGTAATGTGGCTGAATGTTAGTTAGCTTTCTTATAAAATAGCGTTGTTTAATCAAATGGCTAGACACTTTGTAAAGCGGATAAATTAACTATACAGCTAGGACATGAATATTGTTTTGTTATCATTAACTGAGGTTTGTGAAAAATTTTAAGCTACCAAAACAAGTCAATTACTTTATATTTTTCTGGGAAGAAGACTGTAGAATATACTACAAATTCATATTTTTGAGTAATTTTAAATGAAAAAGTATGACTTTTTAAAATAATCATGAATATAAATTATTAGTACATTTTGAATATAAAAATAATAATTATGTTTATATCATAATTATTATTTTTATATTCAAAATGTACTAATAATTTACTAAAGTTAACCTTCAACATTTACCTCCACCAGTTCCAGCTACGGGACAGTGAGACCTGCAGGTGCAACACGAACACTAAACAAGACTACCTCCACCTATTCTTTCACTGTCCACTTTTCGACAGCAACAGAGAAAGATTCATTGAGGCTGTACTTCATAACACCATAACTGGCTGTGTCCTCTACAAGCCCTAGTATATGAGAAAGACATGTACAATGACCTGAATAAAGACCTGAATAATTATCTGCAGAACAAAGTGCTAACAGAGAAAACAAGAAACACTTTGTCAGCAGCAGAACCCTTGTAGCCATGCAAATCAACTGAACTACAATGTTAACACCACACATTAATAAAAATCACTATGTCTGTGCTTTTAGTGTAACCTTAGGAATGTCAATTGTAAATATGTTTGTAACCTGATAATTTGTTTGGGCTACCTGCAATCTGGCACATAGCACCCACCTTGTATCTAGTTTATGCACAGTTAATCTGTATACTGTATATACATTTGACATCTGTAAATACTTTTGTACTATCTGTCATTGTCACATAGGAAAACTGGACCCTATAGAAAGTCCTTTCATGAAGCATTCATCCTTGGCAAAGTGTTTACATGTTGCATTGCCATATTCCATCAAATCAGCCAACTAAATATAAATACATAATAATATGCATAAATAAAAAAATAATAATTACTTTAATCAGATTCTTGATGTTCTTTTGCTATTTCAAACATTCTAATTTCATGTCTTCCTGGCATGTTAGATCCAGCAATATTTCCTCCTTCTGCATCAAATGATTCTAAAGATATAGCACGACAAGATAAATTCCATTTCTTCAATAAGTGTCTAATTGTCCAATCAGCACTAAAAAGAATATATTATAAGTAGTATATAAAATTTATATCTGTAAAGTTTAAATCGGAAACATCTACATTACCTTCTTTCTTGATACGTACACCAAAATCTTGCTTTTGGATATTTTGTAAAGATAAAAGAAATTGTGACAAGGATGGCTTCAAACACTAATAATTAAAAAACTTTAACTGTTTAAAAATAATAAAAATATTTAATTATATATTTTTAAACTAATAAATTCACAAGAAATACATAAATTTAAAAAATGTTTTAAATTCAAACCTTTTTTTTAATTTTAAGTTATTCAAATTTTACTTCTTTTTATTTATTTGTTAAATAAATTCAGATAAAATTAAAATTAACTCATTCAAAATTTTATTTTTAAGAACTTCATACTCTTAACAGGGAACAGGCATAGCACATGACCCAGGAACAAAGTAAAGGGGTGCCAAGAAGAAAAGGAATGTAATAATTTGAATCGATGGAATAACTAACTAAAATATTGAATGGTCCCTTGTTAAAAACTCTACAAAATGTAAAACTCTAAAAATGTATGAAAGTTGGCATACAAAGAGCAATTTAGGGATATAAAAGGTACAGGTGCTGCTTAATGACAAAGATACATTCCAGAAATACATTGTTAAGCAACTCTGTAATTAAATAAACATCACAGTGTACTTAGACAAACCTTATATTGTATAGTCTACTCATCATATAGGTAGTATGTAACACAATAATAATTTATGTACCAGCACCTAAATATACAAAAATGCACAAGCAGTTATAAATTTTTCATCTCCATTATAATGTTACAGGATCTGTTGTTAAGCAGACATATTTATATTATACATGAGAGTACAGTATGTATTATTCAAATATCAAATGTCCAGAAGTGAAAGAACTACATGAAACATTTAGAGTTTAATACAGTACAATTAAGAGTTATAATTTGACAGCAGACATATAGGTCCTTAAAAGTGGCATTTCAGGCACTTAAAATAAGCTCTTAAATTGCGTCGTTTAGGCTTTATAAACAAAAAATAGGCAGTCAAAATTTGCACAATGAACAATTAATGTACTTATCAGGATGATGAATTTTTTATTTAACATATGTATTCCAAACAAAAATGCATGTATTCAGAATGATGCAAAACACAAAAGTAGACAAACAATTATCTTTACATTTTTTATTTGCTCTGTTTCCCATAGTAGGGTCATACAGTAGGGAAGTAGTTATTATAGTAGGTTATTATGTACTCATTAATTCTTATGTACATTCTCCCTACTGTAATAAGTAAACAATATGCATTATATTATAGATGACTGAGGAGGGGCACAGCCCAAAATGCATACAAAAAAGATGTACCATATCAACTAAATAAAGATAATTGATGAAAACTTGCTATGTGTCTTCAAAATACACTATAAAATTAGTGTTTAATAAGTCAAAGATTAGAATTGTTCTTGGTCTATTGTTCTCTTATAACATGGAGGCAATCAATGTAAACAAATGCATTAATGTACACATATGACAGTTTGGACAAAATTTTCACTTCAAATTTCAAAATAGCTGTATTTCCAACTAAACAAATTCCTTTAAATCTCTATACTCCTGGCAGGGACAAAAGTACAGTTACAAACTAACGGGATTTCGAACTTTCCTAGTTCAAATTAATGAGGATTTCCTGCATATTCTTATAAATATTTGAAGAATTGCTTAAAAGTTAACAGCATTCATATTTACTATTCTTTTAATTTTCTTTAAGAAGTAATATTTATAAGAAACTTTCTTACCATCTGGATCATAAAAGCAATCTGATCCCAAGATAATATCAACAGGCTTCAAAGTTAAAATGTTTGGACAGAACATGCCCCACGTTAAACTGAATATTTTAAGATTATCATTCTCTTTCAAATCATTTGTTTGAATATTATCTCTGCACAGTTCAAAGCATTTTGGTGAAAAGGCACTATCAGTCAAGTATACACATGCACCACACTTGGCAGCTGTAAGTCCTGGAAGTGCTGTGCCAGCACCTATCTACAAATATAAAAACATTATTGAATATAAAAATTAAAAACATTAATTAATATAAAATTAATTTTATCAGTTACAAATTTTATCAGTTTATTAAAATTTGTATGCATTTTTATTGATTAAGTGATGATAATTTTCATTCTTGATTCAATCCTTAAGTGTTATGAGAAAGCTTTTATGGGGCTTAGAAGTAAAACAAACCCTTTTTGTTTGAACAAATAAAATATATAGAATGTTTCTTTATTAATAAAAAGCCAGCAAAAATATCCCCAGCTTCCACTCTCAATGACCATGGCAACAGATAAGCTTTTGCAAACCTTGTCAAAGAAGTCTTCCACTAACTTACAGATCCAACCTGGTTTAGTTGTCTGTAGCTCTTCATTGCTCTACTCTAGGAGCAACAATAAATGCCAAAAGTTATTGTGAAACCCTTAAAAAATTACAGTAGATTATTCAAAACAGAAGACTGGACTCTGGAGTAATTTTTCTTCATGATAATGCATAGCCACATTCTACCTGTAGCATGTAGCAAAATCTTTGAACACCTGCTGTATAGTTCCAATCTAGCACTATCTGACTTCCCCATTTCATATTTGAAGAAATTTTTGGGAAGATGACAATTCCACAGCTACAAAAAGCTGAAGACAATCAGGCAAGTTGGAAGGATACTATTTTGACAACAGTTTGCAAAAGCTTGTCACTATGACAAAGGTCTGCACCAGAAAGGTAAATATGTTGAAAAATAGCTGTAAATATGCATTTTCCTATGAGAATAAACCTAAGAATGAAGTTGGGAACATGTGCATATTATTTTATATGTTCATATTCCAACAAAAATGAAAATGAATAAAGAAACCTAATTTTCTGCCAAAATTGAACAGAACCATAAGTATTGACATCAATTGCACCAAAGAACCTTGGTGCAGTTGATGCCAATACTTATAAAGAATGCAAAAATACAAACTGTCTTTTGGCATTAATATTTTAATAATATGTAAAAAAAACAAGTAAGTATTTTGTCTTCTTCAGGCTAACAATGAAGGTGGTTAGAACATTGGATTACAACTATAATTCCTTAAGGTCAAAAGTGGTCTTATTATACCAGTTCAGGGACAGAAATGTGGTATTTATTTGGAAAACACTATATTCTGTCCAATATTTTAACAGACCAACATTGGAACTATCCAATTTGTAGGTAGCTCTCTTTAATCAAGTGAGGAGTAGATGAACAAATGTTTATACTACTAGCAACATCTTAATTTTTTATTTTTGTTTTGATAATTTGCATTCTTTTATGTGAATTTTAAATTATACAATTCATGTTCAATTTCCATTAGAAATCAAATTTTATGCATTCCAAATTCTATTTGGAATTCTGTTAGCCTGAAGACAATGACATTGTGTTGCCAAAACTACTTGCTTTGTTTTTTTGCATGTTATTAAAAGATTAACACCAAAAGCCAGTTTGTATTTTTATATTCTTTATGGACAGAAAAATAAACCAGAGTGAGTTCCTAGTTTTAAGCACTAAAAAGTTTTCTGCTTATAAATATACAGCCAATAGTCTTTTCTGTCAATTTTATGGCAACATCCATATAAGCATGTGGTAGTACTTTCATTTAAATAACAGCAGTACCACAGTTGATGGATTGATAAACGAAATTATCAAAAATTAAAAGATTTATTAAACATATTAGATTATCAACACTTTTATGATAAAAAAGAGAAATTATTGTAAAGACACAATGCTTAAATATAACACATGAATGACAATATGATTTTATTGCATGTGTTCTCTTGGCTGAAAGCAGAAAATGAATCAGAACTGAAAGCATATTTTCTATTTTTATTTGGTATATGTGAAAAACCAGTACATTCCTGGTCTTAGAGACAAACTATAAAGCATTACTTCTACTTAGTACTTATCATCACATCAAAAGTGTCTGTCTTGTAAGTTGCTTCACAAGCTAAATACTTTCATTTTGGCATATTAATTGCTGTTAATTTCAAATAATTTTCAAAAAACTGAATAATCATCATCAAATGAAACAAGTATTACAATGAGTGAAAGTTTCTTCCAATAGTGATCCTAGTGATCTTTATCAAGTCTTTCTTAATTATCCACAATAAACAAAGACCAAGATTAATAAATCAATTCATTTATTTGCCTATTTAACAAATGCATTTCAGATTGGTATTTTCCAATCCCTCTTCAGGCTTACAGCTTTAGCATCTTCAATGTTCTGGTCTCACTGTTGGAAGAAACTTTTACTCATTGTTGTATCCATTCCATTTTAACAATTTTATTAACAAGTTTACAAATTAAGTATTACAATATTAATGAATAGTAGTATTAGCAAAAGTGACACAATTAAATAGAGATTAACAACAAAATGAACAGCTGTCTGGTATTAAATAACTAAACATATTTAACATGTTTAGCTATTTTGACTGATAAATATCAAGAGAGATAACTGTATTTAAGTTTGACCTTTAACTCAGTTTCTTGCACAAAATGTATAAGAAACTTTTCAATCAAAGCAAAATAATTTAAATATATAANTTCGAATGCAAATTTTGTAAGAATTTTGTATTTTTCATAATTTTAAAAGTTACATGTTTAAAATTATAAAAAACCATTCGTTAAAATTTAAATCAGAAAATTACTGCAGAATGCAAAGTTTGCTAAAAAAAATTCAATGATGTTGAACTTAGTGCAAATTTAACATTAATAATATTTTTATTGTTTACATGTTTAGCTTTAAGAAGAACCATTCGTATAAATTTAAATCAGAAAATTACTGATCATGACAATTATATTTAACCTAATTTTGTCATCATATTATAAATTCACAGCTTTTAAATGGTAAATAAGGTTTTTAAATACAAATTCATATAAAAGCATATGGTTATCAAAGCCTATGCTAGTCTAAAAGTTTTGTGAGTCACAGTGAGCCAACTTAAGTAATCCACAAGTCACATCAGTCAGTTTCAAAAAACATGTTTATTGTGTACTTTTTACATTACAAGCTGAAATATATTGCAGATATTACAACTGTTAAAAAATACAGCAATAGTACAGTACATATTTATAAATAAGACTCAGGGTAGCCAGATTTTTTCATTGACCTATCCACAAAAATGATTCTTTCGAGCATATTTTGCACTAAATTTTGGAAAATTTTTGGGTAAATTCTCATATTTATGTGTTAATTTTTGTCATTTTTTCAGAAAAGTGAAAATTTGCACAAAATTTGTCTACAATTGCCCAAAAAAAATTTGTGTATGCCTAAGTTTGTCATTTTCACCTACAATTTAGATATCTAGGCATATATATAGCCATCTGGCAGTCCTGATAAGACTCATGTCCTTCAAGCCTGCCTACCTGTTGATGAGGTTATGACTTTGCATAGCCAATGTGGTAAGCCTATATTCAAGTCACGCACATTTTAATCTTTACCCAATGAAGGGCAGACCAACTTTGGTTAGAATGTTGAATGCTATGTCGTACAGTATTTGCACTTTTAATCCCATACTCTTGCATACCAGACAGAGTACTGATAGTCACAACATCAAATTTCAGTGAGTCACAAACTGGCTCGCCAGTAAACATGCTGCGAGTCAAAGTTGTGAAAATATTAAATTTGACTTGTAAAAATGTGAGTAAACAAAAGCTCTGGTTGTGTTATTTTGAAACAACTACAATCATTTACTAATATTATTTGTTTTTAATTTATAATTAACTAAATTTATTTTTCTTTTTTTCATTTCCTAATTTCAAAAGGAACTTTAAGATACTTGCTTCTTGTCTTTTATTTTTTATGTTAAGTGTAACTTGTCATCTTTTTAATTAACTAGGACTTTTAATACAAATTTGTGTGGATCCACTCCCTTCAATATAACAAGTCTTAGTTAAAAAGAAAGTCCAAGTAGAGAAGTTATACTCAACATTCAAAAAGAACTGTTCATATTACAAACTGAAAATAAAAGACTGTCATTCTATATACTGTCATTATATTTTACATTGTTATATGTTATCATTGTGTAGTTACAATAATATCCAATTCTATATTCATTTATTTTTCAAATATATTAATTTTTGTAATTTACAAATTAATACTGTACAGTACATGAGATATGCCATGTAACTGAATAAAACAGCTTTGAAACAGGATTATAATATAAAACATCTGACAAACACCAAACTCCAGTTTGAAAATGGAAATTAAATGCAAATTAAATATTTTTGATTGCCTTAAGCAATCATCATCAGATTACAGAAATATTCTATAATTTGTTTTGCATAAAATTTATATTTTCAAACTGGAGTTTCAGTGTTTGATGAACATTTTTATAGGAGATATGTCTTAAATAAATAAAGTTTTAATAAATGAAACTATCCAAAAACAATACTTTTATTTATCATTAAGATAAATAAAACATGTTTTATTTATCATTAAGATAAATAAAACAATTTACAAAAAATTGAGTGTCTTATAAATATTCATATATGTGCATGTTTTCTTAATATTTTATAATAGGTGGGCCAAACCTCATCACAATAAGAGCCATACATGGCCTGTTGGAAATATACAAGATATACATTCTCTATTGGAACAGAAGTTTGTATATATACAGTATTACTGGGCTTATCCCAAAAATAATAAAATTAAAATATATACAACTATTAACTTTAATTTTAAAACCAGCAAGCTTTAATTCAATTTTAACAAATGTTTTTAATCTCATAATTTATTCCTAAAATTTTAAATATTGTAACAATCAAATATACATTCCAAGATTAAATGTTAATGTATATAGACCTAAAGAAGATTTATTATTAGATCAAAAATATTTGTCAAAGTTGAATTAAAGTTTGCTAGTTTTAAAATTACAGTTAACAATTGTATGCATTGAGAAACAATTTATCCAGCTTTTGTGAATAATTCTAAAATTAAATACTTACTTAATATGTGTAATATATTTGTTGTTCTACATATTTTATGTTTGATTTTTAATGTTTGGATCCAATGACAAGACACATTTGTTTTGAAAAATGTTTTATCAAGTAATAAACTGACTTCTTAAAAACTATTAGTATTGTGTTTTGTGTTTATTGTAATACACAGATTATGTCCTCCTAGAAAATACTTGAATCTTTAAAACCTAGAACCAATTTTTGATGTGTCTGATAAAACTATAAAAGATGTAAAGAAAACTTTAAAGCAAATATTTTATAAAAGATCATTCCTGAATCTGCTCCTTTTTCACAAAATCTGGTATAATAGCTGATAAATACTTAGATTTAGTATATGTCTCTTCAATCCGAATGGTTAACAAACGGTAGACTTTCTTTCAGCTCTGAGGTTAAGTATTCCTTTATTGTAAATTACATATGCATTTCAGGCTTGTATAAGCCCCTCTTCAGTGTAAATTCTCAAATGGTTGAGTAACACTTTTTAAAAATTGTATGACATCAACAATGACATTATTACCAACGAAACACATGAATAACAATCGTATATGAGTATAATTCCCAAACCTGTTCTTTTCTAAGTATTTATCAGCTATTATACCAGATTTTGTGAAGAAAATTTAATGACAAAATGGATAAAAAGAACAGGTTTGGGAATTATACTCATATACGATTGTTATTCATGTGTTTCGTTGGTAATAATGTCATTGTTGATGTCATACAATTTTTAAAAAGTGTTACTCAACCATCTGAGAATTTATACTGAAGAGGGGCTCATACAAGCCTGAAATGCATATGTAATTTACAATAAAGGAAAACTTAACCTCAGAGCTGAAAGAAAGTCTACCGTTTGTTAACCATTCGGATTGAAGAGACATATACTAAATCTGCTCCTTTTTTTTTGTTGCTCATATATGGATAGCTTACAACTTCAGCAGGGTGCCAAAGATGCTTGGCAGAGATAAAATCATCTCCAGATAGATTTTAAAATATTGTCTATTACATAACATTTATATAATGTTGATTTATCAACTTATTAAACAATAAAACATAAAAATTTATTCTTTATTCAAAAATTACTTACAAGTAAAGCAATGAGCTGTAAGAAAGTGTCCTCTCCAATGTCACAGAATAAATTTATTTTATCTTTATTAGAGTTGTCAAGATTATCTTAAAATTATATAATACCTTTTCAAATAAATTTTCAGTTTTGAAAAGTATTTTCATAATTCTTTTAAAATTATGATGTTAGTAGACATATAACAACTTAGTTACATAATATCTAAAGTAAAAGCATAATATTTCATTACTAGAAGTAATAAATTTATAATCTAAGTAAAATAATAATATATAAGCACAGTGATGGATTATCTACTAGCACACAAGGCATATGCCTAGGGGCCGCAAGTCTCAGAGGGCCCAAAACTGAAAAAAGTAAAGTACAGTACATTTCAATTATACAGTACAGTATATCATAATTTAAAAAGGTAGAACTATAGAAGCAGTAGTGCATTGCTTTCTCTCTCAATTTTCTTTCAGAAACATATATGATAGTCATTTGCAAAATGCACAGAATTATTTGGTGCTGACCCATGTGTCTCTCTTAAAAAAACTGAGAAAGCAACACTGTACCGCTTCTATAGTACTAGCTTTATAAATAATGCTATAGCTACAATTACACATTATTAATTTATAATGTAGTAAAATTATGTAGGGGGCCCAGTGGTGCATTACAGCTTCATGGGTACCCAGGCAAATTTTAATTTGGGGACTCTTGTGTACTTTTTCCTCAAGAGGAATTTTCTTATACAAGATTGGTTTGGGAGCCCTCACTAACAGGCAATTGCCCTTTTTTCTCCATAGGATAACTTTCCACTGAGGGGCCCTGGAAGTTCTTAATCAGCCACTGCATACACTACAAAATTGTGTTCTAATCCAAAAATATTTCAGAAGAATTTCGTTAAAACGTGACGTATTATTTTACCTCTAAAACTGTTTTATCTTTGATGAAATTTCTGTTATGCCATACATACTGTGCCAATACAGGTGAACTCGGCCAAATATACATCCCATAAGAAGGATCAACGTACTGAAAAAAAATATATTTTAAAGAAATATTTTAAAGGATTCAAATCACAACAGCATACAAATACTAAAAATTTGGGCAGAATTTTACCTCGTAAACAGTCATGACAAGTGTTTCACCCGTATTATCATCATCAAAGATAAAAGCTTTCACAGATTTATTCACGTCCATTTCTCTTATTTATTAGCCTTTTCATCTAGCCATGTTATTCGCGTTTATTATCCCTATCGAGTCGTTAAATAACCAAAAAAGTGCCGCGAACCATGTCAACAACGTGTTTCTCGACCGACCACGTGATTCACCTACATTTCATAGTACGGGTCACCACATTACGTAATCGACGTCACAATAACATAAAACACAAAAATTAATAAAAATCATTTTAATAAAAAGTTAAAAAATCTGCCAACTTTCGAAATTATTTTTAGCCAAACGAAATAATTAAATATTTAAATAATGCCGCATCAATTTTTAATTTACGACGGACTATTTTTTTTAATTTTTATTTTTCTTTCTCTATTTCCTAATTTCAAAATGTGGCACGTGATAAGAAGTTATCCAATTAATGGTAAGAATTTAATAAATATTTTATGACGTCAATAAAGTAAACCAATCATAAAATATGATTTAGTAAATAGTGGCAATGACGCAGTGGCTTCCTTCACATATTAAAACGTCTAAAGATGGCGGATCCTTCTAAGAGACAAGCTAAGAAGAAGGCGGAATTGAATCGAATTTTACACAAAGAACAAGAAAAAGCTAAGATTAAACAGGTAAGGGACTCGTTATAAATAGTTTTTGACGTAATAATATCGTACCACGTGCTTAAGTGTCGATTTAATGTCAATTTCATGGCAAAAGCATGAAAATTTAATCAGTTTCAACCCATGCTTAAAATTTCGGTTTATATTTAAAATTAACGTCTAAGTTTGATATTTTATTAAAATTAAGACTTAATTCGTGCATCAGAATGAATATTTTTTATTAAATTTAACATTTTAACATTAAATTCTTAATTAAACATTATAAATTACATTGTTTTTCACTTAAAAACCTTAATAAAAAGTCATTTAAACTTAAATTAATGTAGAATAAATTCTCCTATATTATTATTGTTATACATTATTATTATTATTCAGTTTTATATGTAAAGCTTCTATAATTTTTATTGCAGTTAAAGCAATTTAATGTGTTTAAAGATGCAAACACTTGTATCTGCATCCTGATTTTCTGTAATAAAAACATTAAGTTTTAAATTTATGACAGAAAAATAAAGTTTAATACTTAATCTATAATATCTGTGAACTATGATTTTTAAAATATGTTTATATAATAATTCATGCAAGTTTTTTCTTTACAAAAGCTCAGATTGTATCAAGATTGGGATTCTGATACTTGAAAATCAGGTTTCTGGTCGTCTTCGGATAAACCTGAATTACATTGAATAGCTTTGACAATAAGTCTCGGCACCCATGGTTAACAAATGTTCATTATTTGAATTTTGTATGTTAGCTCTGTACAAAACTTCGACAGTCTATTTTTACATTTTACTATAAATTTTCATTTCTTTTAAGTATATTTTGCAGTGTTTAATTCAATAATAAAATATATTACCAATACAAAATTAATAACAGTTCATTATTTATACTTGTATGAAAATTACACACCAAAATTTATTTAATTTTATATTTATTACTTATTAAACCTAAATTAGTTTTAAAATTTTTAAACTATTACACATCTTACAAACATTGACAAACAAAGATAAAGATCATTAATGTAAACATATAACACATTATTAGTAGACAGCAGGCCAAATTTGATGCTTTATATATAGATTTATCCATTTGTATATAAGAATAACTGATAAATACATTTAATTTATACATTTACTAAATACTGTAGTAACTCAAGTTAAGTGAATAACCTTAGTTTTAATCATGTGCATGTTGTTCTGATTAAGCAGCTTTACACTAAGTATACATCAGTTAAAACAAAATAGAACACTGTAATTATTAATGTAAAATCAATCTTCACACTAATAATGTAAAACTAGAAAAATAAGTTGCCTCTGGCTTTCTGACTGTATAATATTAAATAAGATATATTTTTAATATTTGCTAAGTATGCTGTTTTATATGTATATATTTAATTTAAAATATTTGGAAAAGTTTTTGCAAAAATCTGAATCAAGTTTTAAATTACAATGATTTGAATTCTGCTCTAAATATTTTTTGAATTGGAACAATTTTTTCAATGTGATTAAGAATATTATTGTAATAAACAAAAGTGCTAAAAAAATCATGTACAGTACAGTACCTTTGGCAGATGTCATGTTAATTAAATAACAGAGTTGAATAAATTTAAACCATATATTTACAAGTTTATGCTATATAATTTACAATAACTTTTAAAATTAATTAACTTGTGCATTTCTGAGATATTCTAATGTTTTTATTTGATTATTTTTTTATCAAAAATAAGTAAATAAAAACATTTTACCATAGTTTATTATGGAACAGAACAATATATAAACTTGATTTTACGTCCACAAATCTGCAATGAGAACAGAAATGTTTCTTCTAATAAAATATTTGGCTTTCTGAACTAATTACTTACTTCAGGGAGCCAAATATTTTATAGAAATAGAATGCAACAGTAAAAATGATAGACCTGTTTATTGTTGATTTTTATGATAAAAATTGAATATTTGACCTGAACTAAACCATTTTTAGTGCATATTCTGTTTATCAAAATAATTTTTGCAAATAAACATAAACTATGCAACTATTTAGGAATGAATTATAGTAAAATATGAATACTGAAATAATAAATCTTATGTTATGTTTATTTTACATTAATTTAAAATTGATATTTCTGTTCATACAGCCATTTTATTTTGAAATATGGTTATTAAATAATCATCAATATTAAAAACTGGGTTGCAAATAACTTTAATAAGTTGTAGAATTTTTGAAACCAAAAATGGTATTGTTCTCGAGACAACCGAAACAGGTTAAATATTTCCAGGATGAATGCATCAAGGTTTTGGGATATAATTTTAATACTTATTTATGGTATTGTCAAAACAGGTTTCTAAATTGAGAAAATATCACACTTGTTAAGGAAGCTCCTCAAATATAAATTCAATTTATACTAAACTTTTTAAAGAAAATAATTTTTTCTTCTTTCTAATCTTTCAAGCATTTTTATTAACATATCAAAAATTGCAAACTTATTATATAAATTTCTATTTCTCTATTAATGTTTGAAACATAATTTCCTTTTGTGTTTTTCAATTTTCTGATTGATAAAATATGCAGTAATATGATAGCCCTGTTTGACTTTAATGTGACAATTGAATTATTGTAGTTTAATCACTAAAAAGTTAAATATTTTTTATTTTCTGATAGTGAAGAACATTTAAATTTTAATATTTTTGATACTAAAGTGATTAATACTGCATTCAAACAAAGTTTTAACATTTCATTCTCAAAATAATTATTAATTGAATGTCATGAAAGACTAATTTTGCACAATTTATCATCATAAATAAGATACTGCTAAGTTGATGATCACCATATAAATATTTTTGATCAGAATTTTTTTCACTGAACTTTATAAGTTCAGTGAAAAAATTAATTACATATGCAAGCTGAAGATGATTAAAGTAAAATTGAAAATGTTTCTTCAAATAATCTTTTACTCAATGAATTCAACTTATCAGTATCTTATCACTTGAAAAGTTTATAATCAATCATGAAATAAGATTTTTATAGTATATAATAATATATTTGTTTATTTTTGATGAGTGATATAGTAAACTTAGTATAGTATTAGCTAAAAATTTTATTGTTAAAAATGATTTTTTAAATTGGTTATAAAATGATTGAAGAAGAGGAATAGCTATTATTTTTTAATATTTCTCAATGCATAGATTGGAATTTTAAAATAAGGTAAATGAAAAATGTTATTTGTAATTAACTAATATGTTGAATATTTTTTGTTGTTTATGTAATCCCAATATATTTTTCCATTATGCTATAAATTGGTTATAAAACTTGCAACAAGGATTTAATAATGAGTTTTATTTTCTTTTTTTCTAAATATTTTTATTTTGAAAATGGATCATTGTTTAGTGTTTGACATTACATTTATATATTGAGAATTTTCCATACTTAATGCATGAAAATTTTATAGTGTTGTTAGCATATATTCAAATATAACATCTAAGGACTGGAACATACAGACAGATACTTTTTGTATGGAATTATTTTTCTGCAGATTGTGGCTAGTTTCTGTGATCTTGGTACAAAGAAATTTCGGCACCAAATCCAGTTTTGAATGAAACATTGTGGCTCAATCCACACACAAATGTGTGCGCTTGCAAGTGTGGTTCAATATTCAGTACCAAATTTTGTGATAAAATATCTCTGTGTGCTCCAGTCCTAACAGTATCAAAATGACATTTAAAGAAAGACCATTTAAATCCCTGTACTGTTGAAGTTATATATTAAAAATTGTTGAAGGTTTGCTGTTTTGAGAAAATTATGCATGAATAATTTTACCATAAATTGGTGAATAATCCATATTTTTAAGTTATGTTGTTATAAAATATTAGAAAAATGATTTTTTAACACAAGTGACTGTAATTATAGATGTTTGTTGAAACATGTGTTAGAAAGTCTAAAGAGAAAAAACATTCTGGAAAAGAAACATTTATCTTAAGAAAATAGGTCAGATTTCTTTTCCAGGTTTGTTTCACAAAATGAGACATGTCTCATGTCAAATGTACAACCATTTTACAGATATCTATCATTCAAAGAAATTTGTTTTGTCAAAAGTTATTCTTTGAAAAAGATAAGGTCATCTTAAATATATAAATCAAATTAGCCTAGCTTGTCTTTTGCAAACTATTTAAAGCTGTTTTGCCTATTTCTAATCAAAAAACTGTGAGGTAGACTCATCATCTCACAAGTACTGGTATTTTAAAATTTTTAGGAAAAAAGTCTATACTTGCAAATCCTAGACAAGTTATGTTAACAGGTTATGCTTTATGAGCTCCACTGATGCACAACTATATTTGTTTTATTAATTATATTTGGCAGTATACATGAATAATGAGCTAGTCTAAGCAATTGAATGTAGTTTTAAAATTGTTTATTTGAAGAAAACTTCTAAAGGCCAGTTTAGCCAGTATAATTACCCCTACCACTGATGTTTTCTCTCACCTAAAAGCACATGGACCAGATTATATTCAGATGTTTATACAATCCACTGGAATATAACTTTGTATCTTTCTGAGCATGCAGAAGAATGTTTATTTCTCTCAAGATTGGTGAGAATGCAATCTCATCATTTATCAGTTTGATGATGAGACAATAAGCAAAATCTTTGGCAGATTAAATTTTCCTCTGCAAGGTTGTGACTTAACCGAGGTCACCAAGTCACAAGTTCATTGAAATGAGGTAGATCTGTGCATATTGCAGTTTTGAATAACAAAATATGGGCAGTGATCATATCATATGTAAACTAGCCTTAAGAAACTACACAAATAAAAACAAACTCCTTTACAAATAAACATTTCAATAGTAAGAAATAAACATCATGTTTTCTCTTACAAACATTTCTATATTTCACTACTTGAGTTTTATTTATTTATTTATCAAGGTTTTAAAATTTATATTATGCAAATGTATTTAAAATTTGAAAATGTTGATTTTAAGGAATGCAGTTTGTTCTCATATTTATATGATGACATAATAAAATTATG